GAAACTCGTGGTGAAAAAACGACACTAAGATGTCCGGTTCCGAATACAAATGATCCTGCCCGTGTTTTTCAACACTGCAACCAACCATTTTGAGGGAGGACGCCCGTGTGAAAGATCTGGAACAGCAGAAAAGGGAAGCAGCATGGATGGAGCGCCTCGTAGATGCCGAAACATTGAAAATTAGCAAGGCAGAAAATGACGGTTATGATAAATTTCAAAAAGGTCTACCTGCAGGCCTAGGAATATTGGCCCCTTTCTTCTTTAAACAGTCGTCTATTTCCAGCAACTCTGCCGAATTCGCTGATGATGTCGGATCACATCGACTTCAACCTTTGCGATATGTACTCGAAGAAGCGTGAAAGGTCTCGTGATCAGAACATTCCTATCCAATTGTGCAAAGGAATGCGAATTCCTTCGAAGGTGACTGACTACAACTCCATTTAATCGGACGAAAGAGATGGCTTTCTTACTTGTAACCACTTACTGACCGCAAGCAGGCACAACCTCCCGTTTTCTATAGCTTTATCCATGAAACCCATTTCGTGCTGAATACAGGGTGTGCCAAAATATAGCGACAACGTATGAGCATACAGTTTGAACCACTTTTCGAAGATACTGTTTTCTACTGTGCTCATTTTGCTTTTGTTGCGTTGCCTGAGGTCTCCTTCCATTGAGGGGGCGCGGCAGCGGTGGCGGGCGGCTGTCGGTTTATGAGCACTCACCTCCGTTGAGATTTCAGTGGAACAGGGTCTGTCCTATCGTTGTTACTTTTCGAAAATTTTTTACGACCCCCTCCCCCAACGTGGATTTGATACGACCCCCTTTTCCCTACCTCCACCATCTCCATCTTCCATCAAAACCCCGCCCACTTTTTCCTCCAAAAATGCCGTCGAGCGGGGGGGGGGGGGGGGGGGGGGGGGGTATATAGTCACTCTGAAACGGTAAATATCTCCCAAAACTTTCCTCGCCCAGCCTAGTACCCAGGACATCTTAGTTTCACCTCAATCCCACACGTGATTTCGAGCGACTGAAGTGGGTACGACCCCCTACAAAACTCAAACAAGGTACGACCCCCCCCCGTTCACTGATCAAAACAACGTAGGCGTTGACCTTCAGTCAGTGGATGGCATATTCTACCAATGTAAAATTTATAAGGTCAGGCACACGCCAGATGTTCTTTTTATGTGAGAAAAGTGCGGAAAGTCGTCAGGGGTCAAGGGTTTTCTGGAGTCGTCGCGAACTGCGATCCGCATCGGTGGGCTCTGCCTATCAACTCCTGACGCCTGGCACCTTTCGGTCCAAGGACTTTCCATCGGGTCCACAACACCTCTCCTGCGCACCTTGCAGGAGAAGCGGACCAACCCCTCGGGGACCATGGGGTTCCTAACGGGTCCCTACTGCCTTCCGCAGCTCCCGGATTAGAACCAAGCGCGCCAAACCTTTAACAACCATGGCGCGAACAACATATGCAATGAACACATGGAATTAGGGCAAAACCCACATGAGCATAAATACAACATATGAAAGAATACATATGAATCCTATTACGTAGTAATTCACCATTGCATTTTCGTGAATCTTCCATTGAGCCACTCGCTCAAGGAGATCAGGCAGCTGAACTGCACGTAGTAAACCCCTATTTGCTCGGATGTTACACTTCTAGGGGGCCCGCACGGTCAGCGGGTCCGAGACGGGGCGTGATACCAGGCTGCTCCCAGACGGGGAGCAGGGGAGGGACCACGACCAGTTAACGGGTGGCGCTCCGCAACCTTCCAGCTCGGAGGGGACATCCCTCCTCGCCTTCCGGGGCCTCCTCGCGTTGCCCGGTGAACACCGACCAACCCCTGGATACCAGCATTGGGACACGTATTAGACATTTCATCATTAACACATCAGTACTGCATAGCTAGGGGGCTCAACGCCATTCATACACTCACCTGACAGCTAGGTAGACATAGGGGACGTCCGAGGCAAGGCTGGTCACCGCTCGCCACAAGGCACACACGACGACTGCCCGCTGGCACTGACCGTAGGGGCGGAGCCAATGGCGCAATGGGCGCATTGCGCGGCGCATTGCGCATTGGCATCCGAGCACGAATGGGCCGGGGCGCACGGTGCGCCCACGGGCAACCGTCGCATCCGCGACAGGCCAATCTTCTTTGGGAATTTCTTTCTCTCCTGAAGAGGGGGGGGTGAAACTTTCTCTACCGCTCAATGCTGCTCATATGTAAGGATATCATCATCCATATACGTTTTGTGTCATTAAAACCACAGAAATACAATATAAAAAATGTAAACTTTGCGTCAACATATAAACCCAATTCATAGAAAATTGGTGGAAAAAAAAAAAAACAACGTAGCGAATAAAAGCTGATACAGTTCCTAATTTGAGACTCGTTGCAGCCACTGACATCCAAGCCATTGACAATAGCACCTTCTTGGGATCAGGAAGAAAACCAGTTGATCTGGTCTCTAAATATTTATGTGACCAACAACATGTATGATTATTGCGATGCGCTGAGTTACTGTGACCAACGTTTCCCAAATCATTGAAATTCACATCGAAAGTTTCGGCACGCAATAATTATCAACTTTTGGGATGGATTGTCTATGGATCCACTAAACGCTACAAGAAACAAGGAACTGGACACAACGTGTTGAAGGAGGAGGGCGTCTTTTATGATAGCCAAGCACAATCCCAGGATGGTGCTCGATAGACTTTGCAAACAGTTGGCGCGCACGGTTTGTTCAAAATCACGAGAAATGGGCATCTGTGAGACTATCTAAAACTTTTTGAAGTGATGGTGAGCTTATGTTCACGTTGAAAATTGTTGGTGGACCCTCGAGCAGAGGAGAAGCCCCCACTCAAAAGCAAGGGTTATGCAGAACTGGTGCGAGGTTGGTGGATTTTCATCGGCGTCATCAGCTTTAACGAGCGGCAAGTCAGCACTTTAGATTTGATTTAATGGATTACACTGTCGGATGGACTACAAAAGCTAAGGTTTGCGTTAAACGTCGCACTTCTAAAGATTCATAGCAGAAACGGCTTAAGAATGCAAAGGAGATGCAGGAGATGCTCCTGCGCCACATTGTGTGCCGCAGTCGATGGTTCTTCAACGCTTCTGAACTCCTGGGCAAATGTCAACGGAGGAGCTTTGAGATTTCGTGGATGCTAGGAACCATGATTGTACAGTGAACGTTGCCGCAATTTTGGTCTCATAGAATTGCGGCCTGTCTTTCTAGGCGACTCGAAAACGTTGTCGCTATTATTTCGGCGTACCCTGCTCACACAAAATATCGAGGTGCTGGCCTTGAAGTCACATTGAGCTGTTATCATCGTTTCATTTAATAGCGAATTTTTTCATCTTCTCATCCATTCTGAAATTTATGTTTTGGTAACATCTTTTCGTGAATTTTCTTTGTGTTGTTCCAATTGAATCATTTCAAAAACTCAGTAATATTCAAATTGTTGTTCAGATGCCGAGAGATTGGTTGGAAGTAAAAATCGAGAGTTACATGCCAGCTTCTCAGCGGAAGGATTACCTTTGTTCATACATTAATTATTGCAACAAGCTGACGATCAAGAATGAGCCCAAACCAAAGGTAAACGACAGGGTGTGTGAGCATTAGTTCTGCAACCAGTTTTGAGTCTTTACTTCTTTCCAAGTTTTCTTTCTTTCTGTGGATGTTGCTGATCGTCTGTCTTCTGACCAATTTGCCCAGGGTGTGAATTTCTTCCCAATGAATCATTTAACTGCATTTTCCTCCATATCTCGTACCCATCCACTCAATGGCGACGTTCTTCGTCCCCGTCCTTGTTCTCATATTTTATCTTGGCGCCACCCCCCCCCCGGCTCATTGTTGGCCCTTCAGAACTACCATCGCCTGCCGCTTTTATCTTCTTGTCGTCATTTGTACTGCCTTTCTCGTCTTCGCCGATATCGCTGTCATCCTCCTCTGTTTGCATATCGATGCTTTCCCGCATCAGTAAGTTCAATCCATTTCTACAGAAGTTCTTAACTCCAATTTTTCCCAACTGCTTCTTTTTACCTGCCCCTTAAAACCTCACTCGTTCGTGATTTCTTCATTGTTAGCTTTTTCCTCACTTTTTCTTGTTTTGCCCTCTCACCTTTTCTTAATATGTCTTCGTTGCATTGTTTTGATGGCTTCTCACATCCTGCTTGCATGCCCCTCTCACTCCTGCCAGTCCCCAATAGTTCTTCTTACAAGGGGGTCTTTCAGGGCAAGCCACGCTTTTTCAAAACGGTTTTTTGCATATTGACAAAACCATATTTCGTCCTCGCTGAACGGTTTTAGTAGCATCAAAAGATACCCTTGATGGTTCGATCCCTGGCGGTGACTAAATTTTGCATTT